ATCAGTTTAAGGTTAACCTATGGACGGGCATATTAAATGGAAAAGTGATCGGGCCTTTTGAACTACAAGGAAACTTGGATGGTGACAGTTATTTGAACTTTTTACAAAATGATTTGCCAGAATTGCTTGAAGACGTCCCCTTAAGAGATCTACAAAATATGTGGTTTCAAAATGATGGTTGCCCAGCTCACTACGCTCGTCCTGTGAGACAATACTTGGACCAAGACTATTCCGGGCGTTGGATTGGGCGACTTGGTCCTATCTTATGGCCACCCCGATCGCCCGACCTAAACCCCCTGGACTTTTTCTATTGGGGTTGTCTCAAAGACAAAATCTATGAAAAACCCATTACGACATTGGACGAGCTTCGGCAAAAAATTAGTCAGGCTGCGTCACATATCAATGCTAAAAGGTATGCACGAAAAATAAAGCGCTCTTTTTTAAGGCGATGTCGTGCATGTATTAATGCCGGTGGAAAACAATTTGAACATTTACTGTAATGTTAATTATTAATAAATGAATGAGACTAAAACTCACTATTGTTTTATTTCAATATTTTTTTTAAATATTAAAACATTTCGGAACAGTACAATTTATTACTCACAACTTTGGTTCTTGATTCTAAATGGTATGATTTTTAGTTTGTTGCTAGTTATCATGAAGTATTATACCATTATGGAATCTTCATGAGCTGCGTCAATTTTAAAAACAACTTGCCGCAGTAGTGTCCATACTTTTTTCTACATGACTGTGAGTCAAAGTTTACGGAACGTAAAAATCTGTGAAAATTTAAGGAAAAAAAAACATTTTGATTGTTTTTTGTGTAAATACTGTGGGCATTTTGGTGTTTTTAACAGTTGTAGCGAATATTAGTACTACTTAGGTATCCGATACCAAAAAAAGATTGAACATAATTGAGAAGTTGTGGTCGTGGTAGTTGAAAATATCATAAAAGGTGTAAATTTTCGAATTTTATTTTATAATAAAAAAGATTTATAAGATATAATTTTTTTCTTATTTTTCCATAAGAACACATGAGCAGGTCTACCTCTTGGCACCCGCTTATCGTTGAATTTTGGGACACGTTGTATATATTTTTTGGATTTATTAAAAAGTAACTAAACAAACTAATGTTTACCTTTTAAACTATGAAAATAGTAGCTTTTCGTCAGCTCCGTCAACATAGTTTACATATTTCCTTGATGTTAGATGTAAAATAACATTCATTGAAAATGTAACAAGGCTTTAAAACAAATTGTATACGACTTATCGGCAATTTAAGGAAATGTAACCTTAATACATGAGCATTCTAAGGTTAAATATTGTATTTCAATCACATTTTCATGGAGGAAATTATATGCTATTACATTTAAGTATCAGCTGTAAAAGTGTACAACATCGGCATATTAGCATGATCTCGTAACTCTGTGACGTCACCCGACAAGGCGCCTCAAAGTAAAAGGAACGTAACTAAGGTATAGATTAAATCAATAATAATAAAGTTTAAATTTAATAAGTATGACATAATATGCATAAGCCATAATCTTTACTCATATTATAAAGAAGAAAGAATTGATTGTTTTTTTTATTCGAAATGACTATTTAAAAATTATTTCACCTACGAGTTGTTAAATTATACGCGTAGCGACAACGCCTATTTTTTGTTTATCTGTATGTAAAGGTAGATTATTATTGAAGAATATTAAACACATTTTTTTTATAATAAGCGTAATTAATAAATTACATCGCTACATTGAGTTTAAATATCGCATGACGTCACATCTTTGCACATTTTCTGCATAGTTGTGATGTAACTAGCCCACATTCCTCAACTTTAATATTGTCTCAGTCATTTCTTGTTTAATTTAATCAAATAAAATACGTAGGTATCTAATATTTTTCTATTATCTGACTAACGGACTAGATAGAGTTTCATTTTTAATCGGTTTCCAAATCGAAAAGAAAGAGTTTAAGTATATGTTCAACGGTGATATACGTCGTTTTATGTATGTTAAGCGATTTTTTCGTCAAAATTCTTTTATGTACGAAGTTTAATAAACCGAGGTGGTCGCAATTAAATTTTATCAAAATCGATTCAGTCATTTTTTTATTATAACAAAACAAAGTATACTTTTCATCAGATATCACCTAAATATTATGATATATTTATATCACCCAAAACAACAAAAGATCACTTAATTAATAATAACCTACAGAAAAACTCCACTCATGTTCAATAACAGTTTCTTAAATAAGTCGCTTTTAATATAATAATTATTAATCGCTTTTTTAAAGTTCGAAATCAGTTTTATTTTTTGAAAAAAGTTTTTTTTTTACCCACTTATCGTCCCTATTTACGCGGTAAAAGTCGCGGGAAACAGCTATTATACTATAAACCTTCCAATTGCTCTTAATCTTTCGGTCTCTAATTGACCTTCCTTACTATTTTAAACGTCCTTCAGTATCCTAAACATCAAAATCAATAATATTTGCCGAGCATCAAATACATGAGTTGGAGTGCTATAATAGTAATATAATAAACACTGGATAATCTATCGTGACGTGATAAGCAATACGGTCACGTAGTACGCGTACGTACGCAATGACGCGTATTTGAAATATTTCTCTCTGCACATTTGATGAAACACTCAATGAAAAGTAAAATAATATATTATTTTTACGATAAGCGCTTTCATTTAACGACCTCCCTAGTCGAATGTTTCACTTACCAATTTAAAAGTAACACTGAGCTTCTGGGTTTGATTCCCGATTGGATCAATGTAGAAAATGAACTTTTCTATATTGTCAGATACTCCATAATACGGGCCTTTAACTATTCATCATGGAATCTGAGCAATTTATGTGATTACGTCCAATATTTATACTTATTTGCTATAAGTACCTATACAAGATAGTTTATAATAATGATACTTGATAGGTATAACTTAAAAAAAAACAGAAAGATTAAGCTTCATGTTTGTTAATCATTCATTGACGTTACGTTATCATCTTCTAGATCACCAAATTGCTTTTGGTAAAAGAAAAAAATAACACATAAAACAAAACGTTATAATATAACTAACAATTACAAAACGCACTGAGTATTATTTTAAAATCTGGTGGGCCATGACATAGGGTCATTCCTTAACGTCGCACTCTTGATGCTCCCCAACCAAAATGGTACGAATAGGGATGTTGCCTAAGTAAAAAAAAAAAATTCTATTAGCCGGTCAGTGTGATAATAGAAAAATATTAGCTACGCATTTACTACTTTAATTTAACAAGAAATGGCTTAGTTATTAGACATTGAATTTTTTTAAATTGAAATTAGATTATAGAATTGGATACAGGACAGCTTTCCTAGCGGTAACTACCAAGAACTACAGATAAAGGAAAACTTACCCTTAGGAATCTGGACACCACTTCCCTGCCCGCAGACATTATACATATTATCAAACGACAACAAATATCGCAACCACCATCGACTGGTTAAAATTGATAAATATCGTATTTTGGAAGTTAAATAAAATTTCGGTTTTTTTTTAAGAAAATTTAAATAAACAGTGAGTTGTTACCTAAGCTTGTGATATTCACTTTTGATGGGAGATCCGTGGGAGAGCTGCGGTGAATATTCTTTTATACAAAAAAATATCAAAACTTTAACATCATTATAAAGCTTTGAACCATTTTTAGTTTCGTTAATGAGATCCATTTCTATAAATATAAATGTCATAGTAACACAGTAAAATATTCTTAATCTGTCGATAGTATTCATGTACAATTAATGAATTAATGAATATTTATTATAAACAATAAAGACTATAAAGAAATAGATATATAACAATAGGATATTGCTGGGAACTATTTTTAGGTCATAACACTGTCAAATATTATAAATTACTTTTGTAACATTTTCCTTTAAACATTCTGAAAGGACTGTATTATTTTAATTGTTCTTTACAGTAGAAGAAAACGAAATTCCTAATCACGTACATAATTATCAACGAATCGAATTTCCGATCGAAATACTGAGGAAAAAACAATAAATATATAATATTATGAAAGATTTTCAAGCCTAAACATTTATTAGTTACATTTAGTTTTGCCGACATAAATGCTTGGAAGCTGAGTTTTCATGTAAAGTTTTCATAAAAAATGTTTTTTTTTTGTTAACATTACCGTTGTTTCAGCCGTAGTATCGCCGCGACATTGAAAAATATCATCGTTGTTTTCATTGCTAAAAATAAGATGTTTCTTCAGTTTGTATCCATCAGAATTCGGACGATAAATAACTTCACTCTCAGACGTACCACACTTCGTAATTTTAATTTACGACTGGCGAAAGAGGACCGCTTCATTAACAGTATGATATTAACATCAATATTATGATTATCATATTACCATCTGTCGCCTACTTAAACGTCAGTCATTTATTCGACTTTTACGACTAACGAAGTACTCAAATATCGTATCGTTTGATATTTTCTGTTTGTGTTACACAAAAATTTCACCAAGTAACTTTCCCTTTCTCTGTTCTTTCTCAAATTCATTTTATTAGTTGGTCGACTGTTATTGGTTAACTTATAAAAACTTGTTACCTTCCCTTCGTTATCTAAACTACTGTCCTAAATTGTTTTCTTTTACATAACGAGAAACAACAATATGATTTGATAAAGGGAGAGACTTGGATTTAAATATTAAGTTCTACGCTACATAATTCTTCAATTGACTTGTAGACAATGCCTAATGGCATTAAATTCGTTGTTTGTACGTTTTTATTCGTGTTATAAAATTAAGATAAAGTTACTATGAATAATAAATAGCCTTCCATTTCTTAGTCTCTTTACTAAACCGCAGCAAGACAAACAAGAACACGGTAAAACTGTAACAACTCCTTTTTGACCGTAGAATCCTGGAAAACAAATATATTAGAAGAAAAAGTCGTTTCTCTTGATGTCTTTTATCCATATAAATTAACAATTAACTCTCTACTCTTTCAGATTGAATATGGAGACTGATAAGATGTCAACGGCATCGTCCGTGGGCGGCGAACGAAGACCCCTGATGCAAGCACTGGTGTTAGAGAGACGTATACTGTTCGCTTGCACAATCCTCGTAGGACTGAGCACTTTTATCTGGATAACTGCTGTGTGTACAGATAAATGGGTCCACATAGAAGGAGGAAATGGTGAGTCTGAACTTTTTTTCTGTACGACTTGCCTAATTCATAGTTAGATTTTTTAGTGTTAAGCTGACAACCAAAAATAGCTATAAAGCATAGCTGAAAGGATCAATAAAAGACCAAGTGGACGTAGCCCTATGTGATTGACAAACCAAATTAGCGCTAATACAGATTCTAGCAGTCTCTAATGCAGTCTAGTTCTAGCTAATGCAGTCGGCAATACCCTCCGATCCGCGTTGGGAGAGCGTGGCATGACCCAACCTTCTTAACCATCCATAAGGAAGGCCTGAGAGAAGACGTTATAGGGCTGATGTCGATGATGATGATCATAGATTTTAGCGTTATCGAAGTCATCCACGCATCCGAAAATCGAGAAAGATGGCATAACCATGATGTAATAATCATCGAGATCGCAAACCTCAATAGTGAGGAAAACTCAATAGTGAGGAAGGATGTCTAAAACAATAGTATCAATCTCAATATAAATATTTTCCCGATCCTGAAAAATCCATTCAGCTTCAAAGTTACAATTTATACATATATAGGTATATCTGACATTACATATCAATGCAAATTATCACAAGACCTAACAAACTAAACATCATAAAAGTATATGCCCCTACGAGCCTCTGATGACCTGATGACGTCATTGATGACTTTTACCGACTATTGTATACTACTTTGAGTTTGATACCCAGGCAAGAGATAACAATAGTCCTGGATGATTGAAACGCAAAGGTTGGAAACACCAGCCATATCAAGTTTTCATTCAGCAGATTTGGACTCTGAGTCAGGAACGATCATGGACAACTTTTAATAGACTATTGTGTTGACTTTACATAACCAACACATGTTTCCAATATCATCCGAAACGACTCCATACATGGGTCTCTCCTGGTGGTCGATACCGGAATCAAATAGGTTATATCATCATTATATCAGAATTATGGCAGATCGTAAATGTCATTTCTAAAAAAGGAACGCAAACACTACACAACAAAAGTAGAAGGCGTGGATATCGGACTCAACAGAGAAACGATCCAAGAACGCAAAAATGTAAAGAACAAGGGTATGCAGAAAGATGAGGAACGAAAGGAATATTCGGGGCTTAGCAAAACAATTATAAAACAATGCTGCAGCGACAAAGATCGGTTTGTGGAGAATATCTGTATTGATATTGAGACTCACTCCTTAAAATGCCAAACAGCAGATCTATTCAAGAAAGTTCGTTCTCTCTCCAAAAAGTTCAAACCAAAACCGTGGGTTATCAAAGACACCAATGTATAAAACTTGCATGAACTGGACACCATAATTAACCATCTTGCCTCTGCACAAAAACTCTACCACACACTCACTCTTATCTCCCACGGTAAAACAATAATGCTACTTTTTATAAAAAAAACCACATCTGACTTTAGTTAGTCTGGCAAATACCTAAGGAGTAAGCGGGTTTTATGAAAACAAGGGAACAGATACTTAATGTAAGGCAGATCATCGAGATGTATGAATTCGATTCTCCAGTTGTCATGTGCTTTATTGCTTACAGCAAGACCTTTGACTGTGTAAACTTACGACACCTTTGGTCCATTTTGTCGAAGCTCTGGGTACATCTTATTTCTCTGCTACACTCTATACATGAACAGCCGGAGAGTTGTGAGCATTGATGCCATACACTCCAAGCCTTTTATGTTCAAGAAAAGAGCAGGGGTGCGTACTGTCTCCCATCCTACTAAATATATACGGGGAATAAGGAAAACTTGCGAGGACTGGGGGCGTGTTTTCACCATTGGAGGCTGCAAGATTAATAACTTGCGTTACGCTGACAGCGCCATTCTTCTTGCAGCAAACGAAGTTGAGATGATCACCCATCTAAATAGGATGGAACTTGTCAACTCGAACCTTGGACTCTATAAATAAATCCAAAACGAAGGTCATGGTTGTGGATCGTACGGGGAAGGCTGGAGATTACCGGAGCTCTGGATTTGGAAGAGCTAGAAACCTTCATATACCTTTGGTCCATTATAACAAATAATAATCAATGTGTACTTGACATTCAAAAACGCGTTGGTATGGCGAAAAACGCCGCTTCCCAGACACCTATTAAATCATTGTATGACTATGGTTATTTTACACGCATGAACGTTCATCGATTAATATGTCTTTAGTATTCTTATTCTAGACTAATAATAAAACCTAGTCGTTTCTGATACATTACATCTCTATATTAATATTTATATTGAAAATTGAATGCGTAGTATAACAAATTCGAGAAAAGGATTGTTGTCATGCTGCGTATGCAGAAATTTTCTGAGACATACCTATCTGTATTTGTATTAAATGAGAACTCTTTATGAAAGTTCTTCTGAAGCTAAACACCAATTTGTCAACGTTACAGTAATTTTTTAGAGCCCTAAAAAGTAATTAAACATTGGTATGAAGGTTGTAATTAGTTGGCGACCGACCCTTTACCGCTGAGCCCTCAGTTTTTTATTTACGAGGGTTCATTTACGGTTATTAAGTGTTTTAATTAATGTAATCAACATTGATTGTTCAGAGCCTGGTGTATCGGTTTATCTATATAGCGAAAATGCTTACATTTGAAAAATTGAATTCAAGGAGAGTGTTTAATATTATTTTTCAGAATCAGTATAAAATGGCGTTTAATCTTGGAGATGGTATAATGAATTGATAATATATTTATTATATAGTCATACTAGCTGTTTTCCCACAATTTCATCGACGTAAGTTATATCACCCGCGTATAAAGTAGCTTCCCAAAGGTGAAAGAATTCTTCAAATCGGGCCAGTAGTTCTGAAGCCTTCATCAGTGCGACCAACAATTTTTTTTTCAATATTACTTTTGATGTCACCTGTATATGATGTAGCTTCCCGAATTATTTTACCAACGGGAAGCTACATCATAAACAATGTAGCTTCTCGTTGGTGAAATAATTTTTAATATCGCTCCATTAGTTTCGGAACCTATTAAATGCAAACAAACAAACAATAGAATTGAATTTTACAATATTAGTAAAAATAAAGCTTAAGCAGATATGAATTTTATAAATACTCATGAGATAATTGAGGTACACGTAATCATGACAGTTAAAATATATGTGTAGTGTTATGTATTTAGATATATCTTTACTTGGATGAGTTAAGGTTTTGCACATCATATCATATCTAATAACAAGCTTCGCTTAACACTCTAATTTGAATTTGTATATCGTAAACATAATTTGAGATTATCCATAAATGTAAAAGCGAAGAAAAGGAATCCGAGGACTTAAATTTACTTTAGGCTTGTTACTTTAAAAAATTGATGGTATCTGTTGCTCGAGACTCGAAATTGTAAATTTTCATAAACAGTAAGGCAATTCTGCTAATGCTGACGAAGTTATGGAAACTAAAACCCATCATGACCCAGTTATTATTACTAGATCACAAAACAATAAATATATCTGTCAACATTATTTCTTTAGACATTGCAATAAAAATGCAAGTAGTTGAGACTATTGAAATGCGATCATTACGTAAACAATAACAAAATTGAGGCTCAGCGAAGTCACTACTTGGGATTTTAATGTTTATATATTTTACGCTTAAAGACCGAAATCACTTCGAGCGAAAAAATTGCTCACAATGCGTTGTGGTCACAATAAAACAGTTATAACGCGAAATTCGCTCACATCGCGTTATGGCAATGAAGAAAAGCCATGAAGTGTTTTGAAGCATATTTAATTAAGACGCATTAATGTTTCTCATCCTACTAGTCTCAGATGTTACCGTAGATATCCTTAGATTTTTTTATCCCGTACAAAATGTATTAATGCCCTTTCTGATGCAAAAAATATTGAGATAATATAATTTATTATTTTTTAGGATAGCTTTATTTTAAAAAATCAACTCATTCAGTGATAAATTATTTACATTAGAGTCATAACGAGTTATGAGCAATTTTTTTTTGCTCAATCAGCGGTTTCGTTCTTTGAATGTAACATATACTTACATAGAAGAAATACACTTGAGAAACATATAAACATTGAAATTAATTCTAACACTGCTGCAATTTATTATTTTCGTAACATCAATCAGATAAAGTACATGATTTTAAAAATTAAAATCCATTATGTTAAGTATAAGAAAAATTCGTCAATTCCAAATTTGTCATTACCGAGTTATAAGTATGAAATGGCAGGTGAATTTAATGTATTTACATATTTAAACCTAATTGCAACAACAGAACAATAATCGCTACGAGTATCAGTTTCAAAATATTTCACCATATTTCTGACATGCTTCTTGACTAATTTTTTTTTCCTCTTTATTTTGGTACAAACAGTCATTAAACAACATTTCAATGTTGAAGATATTACAATATATTGTAGACAACAAGTACCCATAATTACTTAATACAGAAAGAACAACATGAGTTAAAAAGTAAATAACAGCTTGTAAAAATTATAGTTTTACAAAATTATGATAAGGTTATATGAAGTTAGGATAACTAAGATTAAAAGTTGATCATTGGAATGTATTAAAGATTTTAGATTTAATGCTAGTTGAGGTATTACAAAACAAGTCAATATTGGAAAATTTACTATTATACATTTTGAGACAACGACAAAAATAACTATTGCAGGTATAGTTTATTTTGTTTTGTTCTTTATATTTGCACTTCTTTTCTCTTATTTTGATCCTGCTCATCTCAGCTGGCTGAAAATCAGTGTTTCACCATATCGGTAATTTCAATGCACTAAGCCTAGACCCTTTCTCTCTGGTACACACAGTTACATGCTTGTCCCTAGTTAATTTTTTTTCTCTCTTGTGTTTTATTTTCTTTTATTAATTGTGTTTTATTTTTATACTCTGTATAGTGTAGTTGTGTGTTGCATATATCTTAATCGTCTATCATTACAAATATGCAACTATAAAAACAAACTATTTTTTAATGCACATATGTGAAGTTTAAAAGCGTTTTAAAGTCTTCCTCTTTCGAATGTGTATTCATAATTTCCCGTCAATATCTGCAACAGCCATGAATTAATAACAATCTCATTTGTTTTTCATGTAAAAGTAACTGGTCTGTATTATCATCAATATTTATTCAACCACATACACGAACTTACGAGTATAATGCTTTAACGTACATCCAGTCGTATCTATAGTCAAGTAGAAATAATTATTTCAGTAAAAGTAACAACTTATGTAAATATTTTAATCCAATAGATGAGAATTGGAATGTAGTAAGAACTGTCAACAGATTAAAATAATAGTATTCTAACTTCTGAGAGTGCTTCTTTCATATTCTTGTTTATTCGTCACAAATGATTGCTTGAATTTATTATTTTACTCTAGTAAAATCTATTGTAACGGTTCTGACAGTGATTTAAGGATTGTGTAACTTTTAAAGTCACAATCGCTTTGAACGAATGGTGATTTGAATGATATAAATGTCATATACAATTGATTTCGTTTGACATTTCCCAATGTTTGTAACTATCACTTTGCTTAGACAATTCCGATTGACATTAATTAAACGTTATCATTCATTCAATATCTGCCAAAAAATCGATCGGAATTGCTATTACACGTCAAATAATTGTAGCGTGAAGTTTGTGAATAGTTTCAAATATCAAAAGACAGTAAGGCCACTGGTATAACTACAGATACGTCTGTATAACCGCCATATGATATCAAAAGCTATCTCGGAATAGTCTGTCTCTAATGAGTCACTCCGCTAATATGGCACAGTTAGCGTCTGCTTTTCATCGCGATAAGTGCGCCTCTAATTGGATCACGTGTGGAAAACATTAACGTTCTCAATGTATGTACAATATGACAGCATTCTAAGTATCCTTAGGGATACCTGGACTTAAGGTGTTCCAGTAATTTCGATAGGTGATTCTATCTATACTAATTATATTTCGAAATAGGTATTTGTTGTCTATACTAATATTACAATAAGGATTTTTATAATGATTTTTTTTGCATTTTTTATTCTTCAGAAATCTTTTTAACAAACATACAAAATCATTTCATACTTCGTTTAAAATAATAATTTTCTCTGTTTGCTCTTTTAAATATTATAAAAGAACTTGGCACACCTTTGCGAATATTGTGTTTACGACGTTTATTAATTAGTTGCAAATAATCTGGCATGTGTCCAATATGAATAGTGAGGGGATCATTAACCCTCAATTATTGCAAAGATAACTGTTTACACTGTCAAATATCTGGATGATATTATTTAAAATATATTAGAACTAAAAGTAACACAGGCACTAATAAAACAAACAAATAAATATAAGAAAAACATCATATACAAATACTTATATTCCAAGGTGAGTAGCTAAAGTGTTATGGAATCTGTGAGACAAAGAAGACTATTTTCCAGGTTAAACTTTTTTTTAATAGAAACGCAATCTTATTACATATTAAATCGATAAGAGGATAGGTGAAGCCAAAATACTATTCGTCTATCTAAATGCGTTTGGCAATGTAATTATTTTTTGAGACATTTTTTTTTGTTTGTGACATAACCCTTAAAATATTTATATAGTTTTCTTATTTAATTATAACTTCATTTGACATTATTTTTTAATGTATGTCACCAAATGAAAGTTAATGATTTTGTGAAGGTACGCGGAATATTTGAAGTCAGGTGATTAATAAATCTTCAACCGTTCAAATGTTTATTTTAATTGCTTTCCTCTAAATAAAAAACAAAGGTTTTTTCACGATTTCGTCTGCTTAATTTAATGCATATGTAACTCAGGTATGATGTAGCTTCAAGTAGGTTAGAATTGTTATGATCGGAATATAAACGCCCTACAAAAAAGTTAGAAACTTTTCCTTTTTATAATATTAGTACAGTTTATTCTTTTTTTTTTTTGATATGTAATTTTATTGATTTATTAATATTTAATACTTTATCCTCTTTTCAGGTATATACTTAGCCGCCAAAGGAAGATATCTGCTATACAGCGATTCAGGAATCTGGGAGATTTGCAGACACGTCTTCCAGCCATACTTCATCCTAGACCCTTATAAGAATGAGAAAATCATGCCAAAACAACAAGAAGATATAACGGGTCTTAACGGGACAGTTTTAATAAGTAAGTCAAGATTATTATTTTTATAAATAAATAAAAAATCTATTTATTCCGCCAGTCATATAATAGAAAATGTTAGATACTTTTTTTTAGGATAGGCATTAAAGTTGAGAAGAAGGTGCTCGCTCCGTATTGACTATTTTAAATCACGCGACATTTAACACAATGTATCGCCGTAATTTATTGATTCATTATCATCATCATCAGCCCTTTTACGTTTTGCATAATACTCCTTTTATTGGTACATTGAATACTGTCCCCAGTCAAAATTCGAATAACAATATCATACATTAAGCCATCCATTTTGATGGTGCCCCCTACGCAGTATTTAATTATTCATTAATATCTTGGATATGAGTAACATTTCGTTTGCGCCGGGCCTAGGCTTTTTAAGCATTGTCGTTTATTAAATATATGCATCTCTGAAGTCTAATTTACAATCATTAATTTTTAAATATATTTTTGCCGCTTCTTATTCTGCGCAATACAATTTCACTCGTAGATTTTTATTGACTGAAATATTGGTTTCGTCTTGTTTTATTTTTCTTTATTGTCAGTATTTTTCAAACATGATGGTGTATAACAAACATTTAAAAAAAAGATTTTATTCAAATCATAGTTGAGTAGTTCCAAAGGCTAGCAGCTCGTTAGTAAATCAATTTTTTGTAGAGTATTTTAAATTATAATCATCAGCGCCTTAACGTCCCCACTGCAGGGGCTCAGGCCATAATAATATGGATGGTTAAGGAGGATAGGCCATGACCCTCTACGCTGGCCCAATGCGGATTGGAGAGTATTAACGACAGCAAATGCAGCCGGGAACAACGGCTTAACGTGACTTCTGAAGCACGGAGTAGCTCGAGATAATAATTTTTTGGTCACCCGTCCTGTGACCGACCCTTTCGAAAGTTGCTTAATGACAATGATCACGGGCTGCGGCGAATATCCACTACTCCACCGAGCTACTTTATTGATTACGAAAAAATAAAAAATACATGTTTAATATTCTTAATAATTAGACATCCCTAATAAGTTGCTTTTGAATAAAATGAAGATCTTTTTTCGACTAAGTACATAGACATATTCCAAACATTTTCAAAACATAAACTAGCCCGTGTACTTAATACGTACGCATAGCACATTAGTTAAAGTAAGTAAAGTATTAGAAAACACAAGCTATTTATTTTTATTTTATGTGTGTTATCAAAGAGATCACAAAAAAGTCTTTATTCGTAAGTAAAATAGGTCAATAAATAGTCTATTCATTACTGTTGTATAAAAGGGATATATTATATTATTTGAAATTGTAACTAAAGATGGCGATTGACGTGATTCAGCCAGCTGTCACCATCTGGTTGATTGTGAGACCACACCACCAGCAAATACCGTTACATATAGCTAGTGTAGTTCCACCATAAAAATGAGATAAACATTGACAAAAAAATTTCTTTGATTACAATAGATTGTTGATCGTAATACATTCTTTAATTTTTTGCAAACGAAGTGGAAAAATAAAGTGTATGACACACACACACACACACACACGCACGCACGCACGCACACACACAACACAACACACGACACACGACAAAAAATATATATCTCTGTTCCTAATTACTCCCTCGTATTCGATGAGTTGTTAAGTCCCTTGTCTAACAATCTACTACATTAAAACGCGTTCGATAAGTTGGTCTCGTTTATTCATTAAATATGTTAAAGAGAAAATATCATATAAGTTTAATTGAAGTGCTTTTGAATCGTCCAACACTCTTTACTTACCTCTCGTTCAGGACTACTTTTGGCTGACTAAAAGAACAATCGAAAGAAACTCACTATCTCTAACAGACCAGCTTATTCCTAATAAATATATACGACGCTCTCTTTGTTAACATGTATTCCAAAAGTTCTTTGAAAACATAAACAGTTTGAAATGTTTGGAAATTTGTGGGAATTTTCACATCGGCGCGCGTGCAACGCAAACTGTCTTAGTTTATTTTCTGGCACCGTCTGGTTCCCCTCACTCGTGTGGTCCATTAACTTTAGGATATTTTTGGTTCACACCGTTTAGTTATTTTTTCTAAGAGCTATTTTAACATTTAGTAGTAGCTTTGTTCGCCTTGAGCTAATGTTAACATTACCCCGAGAAATGTTCTTTTAATAACAAATGGACAAGATTCAGTATTTTTTTCTACGTAGCCTCAATCTTTATTTAGTCCATAAGACACTATTAAATCTAAATAGAGGCTAAAGTTTTTATGATCCTTTATTAGCGTGTAGCTGTTGTACTTTAGCTGCGTTGTAGTCGCTCCCGCTCGGCTGATGCTAAGATCTCATATTAAAGAACGGTCCCAGGTACATAAAACGGATTTTAAGTAGTACTTTTCTACAAGGATAAGAAAGAGATCATTATGAATTCAAAGCCCTAATAAAATAAATATCGATACAATTCACAAAACAATATTTTCTTCCGTTTTTATTTGGGTGTCAATAAAATATTCAAGAACTTTTAAATTGCATTTGTAATCATTGTATCTTTTTGAAGAGCTCAATAGCCTGGTGCAGTTGCTAGTGCGTTCAGTCGGCGATACATTTCATAAGCAACATGGTCATAACAGCCCTTACCGAAAGTTGTTTATTATATATAGTGTGTGCTTATCAAATGATGGGTGGCCGAAAAATTATCATCTCGACCATCATTCTTCAAAATGTATGTTAAGTCGTTAATCCCGCATCTGCAGTCATTAATACCCACAAATCCGCAATGATCCGCGTCGCTCGTGAGTCATACTCCATTCTCGGATCGATTCAGTTCCATCTATAAAGATGTCCCGTATCCCAGCCCTGGGAACATGAATAATCTGATGATAATTAAGCTTTTTAACACATCCAGTGCATGAATAATCTGAGAGAGTTATGGAAGTATGCTACACAATACATAAAGAGTATTACGCACGTTGTTACTCAAAAACAGATTAGCAAACGTGTAAGCCAGAATATTACTCCATAATATGTATTCCCCAGGAGTTGTAAAATATATGTGCATAGTTAAAATAGCCTTTAGTTATAATAGAGGAATACATTGAGGGTCTTACTGCCGGTTCTTACTGTAACACGTCTGATTTATGGCGTAATATATCGCAAAGTACCTACGTTACAATGTTTTGTAATCCGATGAAATCATTGTCTTACTACATTACTTCTTTACTCAATTAAAGTGATTTTAATAAAGGAAATCTTCTGAATTTCTCAATTGTAAGTAGAAAATTTATCAATAGTATTTTGAGTTAATAGAGCTCTTGAACTACAATTTTCAGACTGGCGACACTGTTAATAAATATCGGTCTCTTAAGAAATTTGGGTGAATGGCATCCTAGTGGGAAGCAGAGAAGCACAGAGAACCAAGTGCCATAAGGCAAAATTTCAATATCATTTATTCAATCTAGGTTGTTATTAGTACTTATGAATTTCCAAAATTATGCCAAATCTACGGAGGAAGACTTTGTACTGAGATGAACTGGCAAGAAACTCAGCGAGCGTTTCATTTTTCTCCCTGATTTATTTCATACGATCTATGTTAATAATAGACGATTGCAGAAGCACATTTTTGAAAATTAAAACTATGCCAACGGTTCACAAAACTACAGCAGGAGACCTTGTAGTAAGAAGAACAGGCAAGAAACTCGGCAATGGCTTTTGTTTTCTCCCTGTTTTATTTCACATATACAAGTCTTATGGGAAAGTAACTTCATCAGACTATGAAGTCACTTTCCATTGCAATATCAGAAATAACAAAACAGATATTTTGCGATTACTAATAAATATGCCGGTTGCTGAGTCACTCATTGACAAATATACAGTATTCAAATAAAAGAAAATGGATGAAATAAAGTAGTCCAGAGCAGACTCATCCCCACTGGCAACACCCGGTCACAAACATGACGCATGAGCCAGCCATCGGCTTCGCTCAACCATATTTTAGGAAACGTAACGACCCGAGTCACGACATCACCGCAGAAATGTTAAAGAGAGAGCGTATCTAACTTATGCAGTGAATTAAGGAAGGTAGTTCTAATAAATATATCAATGGCCGCTGCACACGGCATATGGTATACAATGTTAATCACATTAAGTTAAAATATCTAACACCAGGCCTTGTTATTTAGTTCGTCTTTAACAATATAATATAAAGGATATTATACTAAAAAAATATTCTATATAAAAAATTTAAAAAATGCTTGCTTGAAAAATTCGTCAGTCCTGTTCGGTCCTGGGTAGCTCAGTGGTTAGAGCAGTCACCCGGATTGCGAAAGGAAAAGGTTCGAGTCCCAACATAGAGTGCCAGGGATAAAGTGTTTTTTTTAAGCATAAGGAACACTTATAGTTTCGCCATCTCCGACCGTCCGTCTGCGGTTTAGCTCAGAAACTATTGGTATTAGGAATTTGTGAATTAGTATGAGTATACAAGTTAATCACGCCGACAAAGTGGTAAAGAAATATTTCAAAAAATTGTATTTTTTAGGTTACTTCCCCTACATGTAATTTTTTTTCTTCCTCCCTATAATGTGCGGGCATGGTTAGATAAGTCTCTCAAAAACATTAGGGGTGTGGAATGGCCGATTCTCTATTAAGTAAACCGTTTGTGACTTATTAAGCTTCAAAGAGCTAATTTTCGTTAGAGTCGTTTCCCCATACCGTTACCATTTGTTACCATAGGTCACTAATAAAAATTCAAACGTTACAACAGTAGTGCCTATTTATAATGAAGTTAAAAGAAAACTATCTATACTTAAGTTAGGTTAGAATTTTACGAGTAATACTCCAATTGTTGTTAACGCGAAAATTACGAACAACTCCATAAAAAACAACAAATGTGTTTTTTTCTTACTTTTTTAATGGATGATAATGTTACGGAACTCTTTTTGCGCTATTCTCACATTTGGCCGGTTTTTATATATATTGTTAAAAGGAAAAGACAGATTACTAGTGGCAACACTAGTTGTCGA